AGAAAAATATCAGAAAATTCCAGAAAATTTAACAAAAATTTCAGAAATTTTAGAAACACTAATTAACCCCTCTTGGGTCCAAATCCAGCCTATCTGTTGATGTAAACAAAATATACAACACATATATACAATAATAGAAATCTAAAATTCCAAAAAAAAAAAATATAATAATTCATATTTTAAATATTCCGTTCTAACCATCATTTAATCAATAAATTTAACCTTAGATTTTGATACTCAAGGTGAAATCCTTATGAGTTCTAAGAGGAAAGTTAGAGAAGAACTCGCCTGAAGGTTTCAAAACGAAACCGAAACTTCAAGCTTTGATTGCCTCTTCCAAATCCAATGTCCTCTTTCTCTAAGCCGGCCTCCTCTTTGTCGGCCTTCTCCTTTTCTCTCTCTCTCTTATTTTTTTAACGTGTAAACTTTTAACCCTAAAGTCTTATGCGTATATTTATACACATTAGAATCCAAATCCTATTCCTACTAGGACTTTCAAATAAAATAATAATTCTTAAATAATATATATCTATAAACACATATTATATTACAAATATATATATATACCTTCCATAATTAATCCATAGGTTAATTAAATCATATAGACCTATATATATCCATAAATATATATCTATATATATATATTTTCATAACAATTATTAATTAATTATATTTATATAAAATTATATAGATTTATAATTAATACAAAAATGATCATTTAAATAATTAAATAATCATAGGCCTTTATTAATTAACCCAATAAGGCTTCATACAAGCCCAATACCACATCTTTTGGTCCAACTTCCCTTAATCCCAAATTCAATTAATTTAAATAAATCAAATAATTAAATAGACACTTAAATAATAAAAACTAAAAACTAATTACACTAAGCACATAAACAAAATAATAAATTACAATCAAGTTATACCATACCAATAAAATTAACACGCCAATAACTCAATCAATAATTAAGCACACAGACAACAATCATCATATCAATAATTCACGAAATATAAATAAAATAAAACAATTAATCTAAGCACTCAATAAAACAAATCAATTAAAAATTAAAATAAACGCAATTAATTCAAATTAAATCAAATACATCATTTAAAAATAAAATAAAAGTAATTAATTCCAATTAATAAATCATTTAAAATATCGGGGTATTACAATAACAATCAATCTTGGTACGCGAAATCGACAAATGATACTACTCCAAATGAAGTGTCTTAGTTGAGTCTGGGTCACACTAGGATATGGTTCTGCCACCATCCATTTGGTAAAATAATTTATTGCAAGCAAAACGTATTTGTTCTGTGATCTCGCGGTCGGTAAAGGGCCAACCACATCCATCCCCCATTGCGCGAAAGGCCATGGTTTGGCCATTACATGTAAGTCTTTAGGTGGTTCGTGGATCAATGGTCTGAACTTTTAGCACTTATCGCATCTTCTAGAGAATTCTTCTACATCTCACGACATGTTCGGCCAAAAATATCCTTGTGTCATCACTTTGTGCGTTAGAGATCTTCCTCCTAAATGATTGCCACACACACCCTCGTGGATGGTTCGCAAGATCTACCTAGCTTCTGTGGGGGTAACACATTTCAAATACGAACCCGAGAAAGACCTTCTATAAAACTGGTTATGTATAATGGCATACTTCACAGCATTTAATCTGATTTTCCTTGCCTCATCTCTTCATTCGGGCAAAACACCATCTCGTATGAAGGTTATGATTGGATTAATCCAACTCGGCTCATATAGTATAACATTCACTGTGATACCCTTCGGATCCGAGACATGGGTTGATCAGGCCCAGGCCCAAACCCGAGGGATATCAACCAATTAATATTTTATAATGAACACAGAATACAAACCGAAATAAGAAATGAAGTTTAAGCTGATAGAAACTAAAATAAAATCCTCAAATAATAAAAATTCAATAATCTAGCTCAAAAACCTCCAAGGTTACAACTTGGGAATCCAACTAGTGAACCCCGAAATAAAACTCCAACTGAAACTAAAAAACTGAAAGTATAGATATTCCAAAACTAAATCATGAAGTGAAATCCTACATCGTCGGTAGAATGAATGAGAGTCCCTGCTTAGCACTATCAAGCTTGAGACTGGATCCGTCTGTTACCTGAAAAGAATAATAAAGAAGTGGGTCAGGCCCACATGCAAGTCCTATTCCAACTGTAATCCATACAGTGCCCGATACGCAGATACACCCTAGATACCCTCAACATAACTACGTAATCTATAAATATACATATATATCCATACTAAGGACATTCACTGGACTATAGTAGAGGTCTCAACCTGGATAGAAAGCAACATGCGAAAACGCACCCAAAGGTGGGCATGAGTACCTAGACCTAACAGGGTACACCTACCTACTAAATCTAGCTACGCATCCATTGCATATACGCACCCTAACCAACGACTCTGAGACTCACGCTCATATCGTGGTATCATAATCATATATCTAAAGTCCATCCGAAACCATAGTATGTCATTCACTTATTCAATGAGGAGACATACAAAATACCGTCCAGATAAGCACTCAACTTATTCAGTTGAAGTGACTTAACCACAACCAATTAATCCAAGGAGTCATTCAACCTGGTCAGTTGATTCAACTCAACACATTAATGGATTCCATATTTTACAATCCATACTTTCCATCCGGTAGGTTAGGTCTTAGCGTTTTGAGCTAAACTGTCCCCAATATGCCACCGTCCCATACCGGTGCATACAATCCTCCATATCCATGCAAATTACAATATATAAATCATAACTGAGTAATTTACAGTCCCAACTAGTATCCAAATAATTTCATAAATGGTTTTGTTATACTAGCAATTGAAAATCAACAGTAATCTCTGTAATAGTAGAAAAGTTTACTGTTTCAACGATTTAGATCCCAAAGCATGTACAGATTAAAAAATAAAGATATAGAGGATCCTATCATGCATTTTAGTAGGTTTTTGTAACCATCCTACATCCCACTACATTGCCAAAATTTAGTAAGGCAATTAATCCATCGTTCCTCCGTTAACCGTATAGAAAATTAGTAATTTTTATACCATTTGTCCTATTGATTAAACATAAGCTTTTAGCCCTTTAAAGGTCTTAATAATACCTAGGACTAACTTTTTAGTCATACAGTGAAGTCCCAAACTCAGTCCAAACAGTCCCCAATTCCTACAGTCTCAAAATTTATCAAAAAAACAAGTTCTGAAACTATACGTGAGAAAGAGCCTTCTCCAGATTTTGGAGTAGGCTCTAAATACACCTGGAGCCGCCTCCTAGGAGGGTAGAGCCGGCTCTACCTCTCTTAGAGCCGGCTCTTTGATGGGGGAGGCGGCTCTTTGTATTCCAGAGCCGCCTCTCTCCTTTCGAGCCTCCTTCAACCTCTGTTGCTCTTACAACTTTCTGCAGTGTTTTCGGCCATTCACAACCTGTCTAGTTGGTTTTAAACTGATCCTAAGAGTTCCATCTAAGTCCAGTATCATTCCCAAGATGTGTTTATAATAGTTAAATACAAAAACAGAGGCTACAGATTCATCAGATTTTTCATGCTTCAAGAAACAAATAAATCACAAACACGCACAAACTGTAACTGAATAAATTTTCACACATACAGAACATTGATATACCATCAAATATATATAAGAAACTCAGTTAATTCTTAATTAAATCCTCGAGGCCACCAAGGTGCACAGAACACAAGCAAAGGGAAAAAGAAGGAAAAGAACTTGCATTTGAGTTTCAGACTTGAAACTCTAAATTCTCAGCTTCTGTGGTGATATGTTTGTGTCCTAAACTGCAAGTCTGCTTCCCCAGTAACTTGGTTCAACCCAGAGACACCTCCTATCTTCCTTTGTTCTCCCTATGTAACTCACAGTTCCTGTGTCTTTCACAGAACTCAATTCACGTCTACGAGTTAACTATTATGAATCCCAAAAACCCTAAGCTTACCGCACATAATATATTTATAAGCTTAACTCTGAACCCTAATCATTGTAACCTTAAAGCCAGAGCCCACCTCGGCCCATAAACCAACCTAGGATATATACCTACGTCGGCCACCCATGTGAATTGCAAACCTAAATTCACGTTGAGAACAGAAAAACTAAATTCCCTAAAATTTAAATTTCCATTAAATCAAATTGATTAAATAATTAAATAAACACAATTAAATAATAAAAAATTAAATAAACAATTACCAAAAACAATTTAAGTAACATAACTGTAATACCCCTAATTTTAAAAGGATAGTCTCGGTATTTATTTATTTGTTTTAATTGTATTTTTTAATTATTTAATTAATTATTTGACTAATTGTTTATATGTTTAATTGAATTAGGTATTACTTGATTATTTGATTATGTGTCTATGTATTATTTGTATTTGTCTATGTGTTCATTGTTTAATTAGATTATGTGCTTAAATGGTGTTTTGATTAATTGTAAATTAAATGTTTTCTTTTCTTTTATTATTTTATTTTATTTTTCTTTTATGGTTATGGTTAGTAGTAATGGGCCAACCAATTGGGTCCCATGTACTACTTGGATAGGAGGTTGGATGTGTATGGATTATTACCCATGGATAATGTATGTATATATATAGATATATATTATATACATATATAAAAAGGAAAATAATTTATAAATTATTTTTATGGTAACTTGGGTAGTAATATTTAATCTGATGTATATGTTTTATATTTAAATAATAAAAATATACATAGATTTGACACGTGTTATGTTTTAAGTTACTTTATAATATTATGGTAACTTAAGTATTATTGAATAATCCATTAATAAATAATGGAATGTGTATAATTTATTTATTTAATAAACATATACATAAATTATATACGTAACATATTTTACTTACCTTTTTAATATATATATAAAAGAGAAAGTAATTTATTAATTACTTTTATAGTAATTTGGGTAGTAATATTTAATCTGATGTATATGTTTATTTAAATAATAAAAATATACATAGATTTGATACGTGTTATGTTTTAAGTTACTTTATAATATTATGGTAACTTAAATATTATTGGATAATCCATTAATAAATAAAGGAATGTGTATAATTTTTTATTTAATAAACATATACATAAATTATATGCGTAACATATTTTGCTTACCTTTTTAATATTTTTATTTTCATTTTTTTTTTAGTTGACTTGGATTGAGAAAAGGGTTAGGGTTATTTTATTTAGCCTATAAATATATAGCTATAGGTTGTAAAAGGGGGTTAGAAATATTCACGTGATATATACTGGAGAGATAGTGTTAGAGAGGGAAGGAAGAAAAGGAAGGAATGAGGAGAAAAACCTTATTGAGAAAAGATCAAGGAAGAAGAAGTTTAACTTTTGATCCGAAAGTTTAAGGCAATTTCTTCTTCTATCTCTTTCCCTTTGATTCGTGTTTCTGTACATGCCTAGGAAATTCCAGAATTTATTAAACACATAAAATTAAATAATTATGCATGTTTAATTGGGTTAGAACATAGGTTATACGAAATTGGTTCATATCTGTTCTTGTGTTATGAATTGATAAAATGCATAATTTTAATTTGATTTCTTATGTGAATTTTTACATGTTTAAATTATGTATTTTTCATATCTGTGGAATGATGGAACGTAGAAACATGCCTAGGATTCCTGAACATTAAATAGGGACTAGATTTGGGTTTTAATAAATTTAAATAGACTCAATCATAATGATGCTTGCTATTTGAATGTTTTAAACAAACCAATGAATTTAATCTTTTAAAATATTTTAGCAATTGAGATTAAATGTGTAGGATGAATTGGATATAGAGAATCCTTATTTAATGGTATAATAAAATATCATCATGTATAAGATTCAGTTTGTGTAGGACATATGATATAGGAAGTTTAAAGAAATAATAAGTCATTCCTATTATGTGATAACTTGATATCATATTTATCATAGTTATTTATGGAATGTTTGATGTATTTCCTTAATTGTTACATCAACTGTTGGATTGTGTGGTTTAATGCACCGGTATGGGACGGTGGCATTCTAGGGATGGATTAACTTATCAGTTAAGTCCTACCTATTTTATATAAGGGAATGGATTAACTAAAATGTTAAGTCCTACTTATATTTAAGTCAGGTCAGCTGAACAAGTTGAATAACTTATGGAGGATTAATTTATTATATAAGGGAATAGATTAACTAAAATGTTAAGTCCTACTTATATTCAAGTCAGGTCAACTGAACAAGTTGAATGACTTATAAATGATTAATTTATACTGGATAGGATGGTTACTAGATTTTATATATATAAGTATGGTGCCATGATATGAGTTTGAGTCTTAGGATCAATGGTTAGGGCGCGTATATAGCCAGGGATGTGTAGCTAGATATAGTGTAGTTGTGTACCCTGGTAGGTCTAGGTACTCATGCCCACTATATGTGCGTTTTGTATGTTGCCTACTATTCATGTTGAGACAACCCTATAGTCTAGTGAGGTTCCTTTAGTGTGTATATATATATATACGGACTACTAGTTACTGTTGGATTGACTAGGATGTATACGTGTATCGGATCTCTGCTTGGACTGTAGTAGAGTAGAACTTGTTTGTGGGCTTGACCACCATTATTTTTCAGGTGTTCGTCACGAGTAGAGGTTGTTCGTGCTAAGCGGGGATCAGTCTACTTCATTCTTCCGATGCTACATAGGAGTTCCTTTATGATTCAGTTTCCTGTTTTAGATTACTGTCATTTGTTTAGTTTGGATTTTCTAGGGGTCCACACAGTATGGATTCCCAAGTTGTATTTTGGAGGATCAGTTGTATCAGAAGAGTTTATTAATTAATGGAAATATATTATGAGGTTTATTATTAGATTATCATTTTAGTTTCTTGTAAGTATTTTATTTATTCTTCTTTATTCTTTTGTACTCTGTGTTCGTTTATTATCAATTTGTTTTGATATCCTCGGGTATTCGGGCGTGGGCCTGGCCAACCCGCATTCAAAAATTCGGGGGTATCACAATAACTAATTAAACAAATAAACCTTAATTAAATAAAACTATTATGCAAATAAGCAAATATTATGCAAATAAACTATAAATTAAATTCCAGGAATAGCCTTTTTAAAATTAGGGGTATTACATTCACTTGCCAAGGACCTGAGCCAGATGGTTCCTCGAAGATAGATGGCTGACATAACACATCAACTGGAATCACCCTAGCCAGTGTTTCTCTAGAACTTAATGCACTGCAAGCCAATCGATCGGCATCCTCGTTATGTTCTCTCGGCAATTGGATGAACTCGATTTGATCAAAGTTACTTGCCTCACGCACAACGGCAGACCAATATGCCTCCATTGTTTCATCCTCGGCTCTGTATTTCCCAGTTACCTGTCGAACGATCAGCTGCGAATCACTAAAAGCAACTAGACTTTTGACCTTTAGCTCTTTGGCCAACTTTAGTCTAGCTAGTAATGCTTCATATTTTACCTCATTGTTGGTTGCTCTGAACTCAAGTCTGATCGTTTGACTCAGCATGGTGCCTTCTAGCGTCTGCAATTTGATCCCAATTCTTGCCCTCATTTGATTTGAAGAGCCATCAACAAAAAGCTTCCACGAATGACCTCCATGATTTTCCTCTGGGTCTCCTATGTCACACTCTAGCAAGAAATCAGCCACCGCTTGTCCTTTGATGGCCGTTCTGGGTTCGTATGTTATGTCAAATGAGCTCAACTCTATGGCCCACTTTGTCATTCTTCCCGACAGATTTGACTTATGCAGGATCACCCTTATAGGAAAAGTGGTCAGAACAACGATAGGATGGGATTCAAAATAATGCCTGAGATTCCTTTTTGCATTTACCAATAACAGGATCACTCGTTCAACCTTTGAGTACCTTCTTTCCAGCTCGGCCATTATTTTGCTAACGTAAAACACTAGGAACTGCTTATCATCTTCACAATGCACCAGAACAGCACTTGTTGCAACGCTGGACACACCAAGGTACATAAAAAGCTTTTCACCTAGTTCAGGGGCAAATAGGACTGGAGGGTTCCGCATATATTCTTTCAAGCTGGTCAGTGCCTGTCATTGCTCATCCCCCCAGGCCTGCCTTCCATGGACTCTTATTGTGTCGAAAAAAAGGTTTACAGTGATCTGACAGCTTAGAAATAAATCAACTCAATGCGGCTATTCGTCCGGTGAGTGCTTGCACCTCTTTAACCATTCTTGGTTCTGCATTTTTTATCAGAGCTTCTGCTTGGGCTAGGCTAACTTTAATTCCTCTGTTGTTGACCACGTATCCTAGGAACTGCCCGGAACCCACGCCAAACGAGCACTTGGTTGGATTAAGCTTCATACCATACCTCCTCAACACCCCGAACACATCTTGCAAATGTTCCAGATGATTGTCTTTCTTCTTACTCTTGACCACCATGTCATCAATATAGGCCTTTACAGCCTTCCCCATTTGCTTTTTGAAAATATTGCTGACCAGCCTTTGATAAGTAGCTCCAGCATTCTTTAGTCCGAACAGCATAACTTTGTAGCAATAGATTCCTCGTTCGGTGACAAAAGAAATTTTATCTTCATCGTTCGGGTCCATAGGGATTTGGTTGTAGCCTGAGTAAGCATCCAGGAAGGTTAATCGTTCGTACCCAGTAGTAGCATCCACCATTTGATTAATCTTTGGCAACGGGAAGCTATCCTTAAGGCATGCTTTGTTCAAATTGGTGAAGTCAATACAGACTCTCCATTTCCCATTCTTCTTCTGTACGACAACTACATTTGAGAGCCAAACCGGGTACTAAACTTCTCTGATGAATCTTGCATCTAGCAATCGGTCAACCTCATAAGTTATGATTTGATTGCGTTCTGGGGCGAACCTCCTCTACTTCTGTCTTACAGGCTTAGCGTTCGGGTTTACATTGAGGGAATAACAAAACACAGAGGGACTGATTCCTGGCATATCTGAATGGCTCCAAGCAAACACATCTGCGTTCTGAGACAGGAAATCAATTAACTGTTGTTTCTCCCCCTCTGCAAGCCCTGACCCTACCCTTGTTGCTCTGTCTAGCTTATGAGGATCTATTTGTACATCAATGAGGGGCTCTTCGGTAAAAACCAAAGTCTCATCCTCTCCCCCAATCGCTTTGGAGGAAGGTCATGTAATTGCTATCTTGGATTGTCAAATCGGGCTGAAGCTTTTCCCTTACCAACAGTTTTCATTGTCACGAAGTAGCATTCCTTGGCTACGACCTGATCCCCATGGATATCAATCACCTTGCTCCCATCCTGGCTCAGACATCTTATCACCTGGTGCAGAGTTGATGGAACACCCTGGACCCTGTGAATCTTTCATCTTCCCATCAAGAGATTGTAAGACGGATGGATCTCAACGACCACAAAGCTCTTTGTCAAAACTCTTTCAGTAGCTTGTACTGGCAATTCTACCATAACAATGGGCTCTACCCATTTCCCATCGAACCCCAATAGTGGATTTCCGGTGGGCTTGAGTTTTTCTAGCTTGATCTCGAACCTGTCAAACGTTATTCTTAGCATGACGTTCGCATTGCTCCCTGGATCAATCAGAACTCTTCGCACCAAGCACTTTATTACTATCAAACTGACAACCAGGGGATCTTCATGGGGGATCTGTACATGCAGCAGGTCTGTTCTGGCGAACTTTATTTAAACTGATGTGCTTTGCTGGTGCAGAGCATTTACGTTGCCTATCCTTCTTTTCATCTGCGCTTGTCGGAGGCGCATTCAAAGTAGTTCTTCTGACTCCTCGGTCGACTCAGGTCAGCCGTGAATTGCATTTATTATTCGAACAGGCTAAGCGTTATGGTAGGTCGGCTATTGATTTCTCTTCACTTGCTCTACCGATCGGTTCTACTCCATTGCCAGCCCTTGAACATATCCTGCAAACTCTCCCCTTACTATCAACATCTCCACTTGCCTCTTTAAGTTCCTGCATTCGTTAGTTTGATGACCAAAATCACTATGGAAAGCACAATATTTAGTCTGATCTCTCTATTCGAGAGGTTGTCTAATTGTTAGGGGAGAACGAAACTTATCTTTGTTCTCCTGATATAACCTTGCCAGAGTGACCTTGAGTGGAGTAACCGACTCCTCCTCTTTAAGCCTCTTCTCTGCTATCCAGGAGGTCTGACGCTTTGGTGGAGCTTGTTTTTGTTGGATCTTGGTTTTGGACTTCTCCTCCATAGAGATTATTAACGTCTTCCTTGCATTAGCTACTTCTTCCTCTTCCAAATGCACGAAACCATCAGCTCTCTTATTTAGCTCATCCATGGTCTTCGGTATATTCACCACCAGACTTGTGTGGAACGGTGTCCCTCAGTTCATTGCTAGTTTGAATGCTTGAACCACCGTGGATGGATGACATTCTATTACCATGCTCTTGACGAGGTTGAACCTGGTGAGGAAAGCTTGGAGGCGTTCCTCTTTGTGCTTCTTCATCGTAAACAGACTTGAGATATCTTTAGCTGGGCGCTTGTTCCCATAATACTGGCTTATGAACTTGTCACACGGGTCCTGGAAGCTAACGATTGAGCCTTTTGCCAAATTCTTGAACCAATTGAACGCTGGTCCGGTCAAACTTGTAGGAAAGTACTTGCACATTAGATGATCATTCTCCGTGTTCAAAGCCATTTTCAACTGAATGTGATAAACGTGATCGATCGGATCACTCATTCCATCAAACAAAATGAAAGCTGGTATGGAAAACTTTCTCGAATTTGGAGCATTCAAGATCTCGTCAGTAAACAGTGAATCAACCGTTCGTGCTGAGGAACGGAGGGCCTCATTCTCCCTCGGAAACCTTGGGAGAATCCTCTGATCTGTAGATCTTCCATCTGAACCTCTGTAGTCATACGTAGCCATTGAAGGCCGGTAGGGCGGATCGAATGATCTTTCCTCCGTGAGTTATCTCTGCCACGGTGACGTAGCCTTATAGTGACCAAACTCCATGGCTTCTTCTTGCCTCAACCTTTCTTGATATGGATCGAATGCCATGGCTCCCTCTCGCCTGATCTGCTCGTAATTCTGCAGTCTCTCTTCTCAAGGCTTCAATCATGCTCATCAATTCATCAAGCTTCGTCTACTGGCCATTCTCTTATGGATTAGAACTCTCACCTCCTATCATCGTCCCTGATCAGAGCAGAGTCATCAACCGTAAATTCCCGACCGAATCTGAACTATGCTAATGCGAATGCATTAGATCTGGCCTCAAACTAGCTGAATTCCGATCTCTTTCCACCGAATGTGATCTACAATCTATTAATTATATTCTTATCGTGAACTCGTCAAATCTAACCTCAGTAAACAGATCGCACTACAAGAAAATAGGTCTTTAGTGACAGTCAAATCCGTCACTAAAAGCCCTTAAACCGTCACTAAAAATCAAAATCGTCCGTCACTAGTTAGAGCGTCGCAAAAGATCTTTAGTGACGGTAAAAAATTACCGTCACCAAAAAAATGGGTCTTTAGTGACGGTTGTTACCGTCCCAAATAATCCCGTCACTAAAAGTTATTAGGGACGGAATGTACCGTCACTAATAAGTTATATATTAGGGACAGTTTTTAGACTGTCACTAATACGTAAACTTTTCGTGACAGTATTTACCATCCCTAATAACCTTTTTTTTTTTAATTTTTTTTATCACAATTGTGACAACTAAAAACCGTCCCTATTACCCCCTTTTTTTTTCTTCTTTTTTTTTCATCAATGTTTGTATGTTTTTATTTTATTTTTTTCTTTCTCAAATTCTTTATTAAAAAAAACTCAAACTCTTAACTGGAAATAACTGCATAATAACCCACAAAATATTATACCACATGCACCATAGATAAATATCAAAAGCTAGACATGTAGAATATAAAAATAAACTTTAAACCTCTTCCAACAAGTTCAAAAATCAGAGCATCATTTTAAACTAAATGTAAAGACATCCAAATACAGCCCAACATAATCTGTAGTTCAAAGACAAATGGACTAGATATCAGCTAGTCATAAGAAAGCCTCAAAATTATGTGGTGGCAGTTGTTAAAGGTGAGAGTCTGGTGGTGATGGATGCTGATACCCACTTTGTAAGATGAGGATGCACATTGACGGCTTGGAATCACGAATCCATGTTCGAACCCGCGGGGATATCCTTTCCTGATACCTAGTTGGTTTTGCACTATCTCAACATCATTTTTCTCACTGGACTGGTACCATCAGAATTTTGAAAAATCTGGGAAGACTTATCCATCATTTCATCATGCAATTGACATATAAGTCTTAGAAATGAGAATTGAGATACAAGATAAATATATATCACAAACATTGTTTTAAATGAGTTATAGATTTTTTACCTTCATGTGAGACGATATATATCACATAGATTGGGTATCAGGGACTAGTTTATCAAATCAAGTGGAGAACAAGATTTTAAAGAAGCATTTATTGGAGCTAATTTATAAGGGGTAAAAAGAGAGAGTAACGCTGTTTTTTCATCAACCAGCTAGCCTTGTGTTGCGCACATATAACTTGTTCAATTTTAATATGCAGACATTTAATTATAGTTAAAAAGTTTTGAGATTAATTGCATGCATGCAATTTAAAATATGAGGAATAATTAAAGTCCATGTGACAATTAATTTTGAAGATCACAATTTCTAATCGTAATGCCTTAGTTTTCTTTAATTTAAACTCCAAAACATATAATTCCCTGGAAGAAAATATTTTTCTTTAGAAATATTATTTGCCTTTAGCTAGCCTGAAACTCTTTTACAAATGATCAAAAATCTGTCATGAGAAATTTAAGAAGAAGAAAAATATGTCAAGTGAATTTATGAGCTTCTAAATAAAAAGAGTTATGCTCTAAAATTGGTGTAGTAATAAAGATCCTTGCAACTAAAGTGTAGTAACTTATAAGGTAAATAGCATGGTGAAAACAACATAAACAGGTACATGGATTACCAAATTTCACTTCATTATGCTATAACTGATCAGCCCAAGAAAGAAACAAAAGCATAAAAAAGCTTCAAAATTTTCTCTCACCTGCTTGTTTTTCACCCTTTTGCCCAGATATTTTCTTTCCCAATATTAGTAATTTCTACATTCACCGAGTCTGTTAATGAGTTTGAAATCCAGAACCATTTATCTGCAAAAAAGAGTCAGAAAAAATCATCTGTGAGAGTTCATTAATATATCTTTATACCAATCACTTAACACAGCCAGATAATAATGATATACGAAGATTTGCCTTCAATAGGAATCAATGCTCACGCAGCATCATCAAGACTCTCTCTCTCCATACATACATACATACATAATACATACATATATATATATATATACACACACACACACACTTATAAACAAACAAATTTGGTGGATTACATGGTCTGGCATGTTAATATTTTGCATCATGCTACTTGGTCCAAGGTTTCCTTTCTGTACTTGAACCAAAGTTTGCAGGATAATAAACTGAATTGGGTTATTCCAAATAGATGTTTCATGTGAATAAATATTGAGATCATGGATTATATTGTCCTCCATTGTTTATTTTTTAAAGAGGATGAGGATGTTTGTTTTATGCCAATCTAGTATCTGTTTGGTTTTCTACAAGAAACATTTTTTTACCTTTCTAGAGGATGCTAAATCAATTATAGTTATAGATGTAAAAAAGTCATCTAGATATAGGACTCTCTCTCTCTCTCTAATGTTCTGTGTACATGTATTAGAAGAATGGAATAAAAGTATCTACAAGGAAGAGGTTTGTGTGTTTTTTCAGTTAAATATTTTCTTAAATATATTAACAATAGTAGGGGACCATATTAAACAAACTTATTAGATGTTCTTTGTCTAGATTCTTATTAACCAATATATGTTCTGCGTAAGTTTATTGTCCTATATTTTTTTTCAAGGAAAAGAAAAAATTAAAATTAAAATTAAAAAATTAAATTAAAAATAAAAACTACTTTTGATAGTAAAAAAATCTAGAATGCATAACAGAAACTGAATTGTTAAACAATCTAGTATGGATCCCCTGCTAGCACCTATGTCTTGTCAAGCACAGGATTCCACAGCTTTGGAATAATCCAGATAACAAGAAATAAATAAACTAATCATGAACTACTGTGGCCAAAATTGAAATGAATCTACATATAAGGAATGCTTTGATCTAGGATGCAATACTTGAGCACAGAAGAACACAAATACGTGTTTGCACCCAGAAACCTGGAGATGACAAGACCACAAATATCATTCGAGACAAACTCAGAAATAATGATTTAGTCAACCCTTACTGCTTGAATGATTATTAAACATAAACCATGTAAAGAACTCCTATATGTCTAGTTAAAGGAATCCCTGATTGTGTCAAAACTCCAAGCTAATTGCATGATAATTAAAGACAACCTTAAAATGAATTGCATGCAACAGGTAATTAACACAAAAAGTGTTAGAATAACATTTTGAAAATACACTAGTGCATAAAAGTTACTATAAAGACATCCAAGGGTTGAGGATATGCTGCGTAAAGTTTGGATCAAACCCTTAAGGCACTATACAAATTAAAAAATAGTGAAAATACGTCATTCCACTTGCAAATGAATTCCCGCAAGGCTGTCAGTAAAATATTGATACCTAATGGCTGTGACGAATAATAGCTTCCATCAAATTCCTCTAAACTAAATCCATTACAACATGATTTAAATGCATCCCTATCAAATTCTTGTAATCCTTCTCCATTTCCACCTAACATAAAATAATTAATCTCTTTGCTGTCTAAAATCAATGCTTTCATTTTATGAAAGTACTCCAAAATTTTGTCCCACCAACAAAAGCAATCTAGAAAGTGAAATAAAAAAATGGAAAAACAATATAAATGTATGTCCGTGTATGTGTGTGTATAACTTTAGGGGGGAAACAATATATATATATATATATATATATACACACACATTACACTCAGAAAGGGGATAATATAGAGATAACTCTATTCTATTTTCAATCCACTGAAGAACAACAAGAACTCTATTATATCAATCCTATTCATTATGTGGGCACTTCCTTAGAGAGGATCAGTTTGTGCAAGAATTGAGAAAATTATTTTGGGACTACTGCCAACTTTAAAACTCAAATGTTAAGTGGCATAATTTTATTCAAATACATGTCCAATAATGCACCGAAAGACCAAATGCCTGCACAAAAATCACTCAACAAAAACCTCATATTCTAATAACTTGGGGCAGGGTGCTGATTTCCCCTAGTCCTTTATTTCCATTGAGAGCCCATTTACTTACCAGTTCAGGGTCAACAATTAAGCAATTCCAAGATAATTAATTTTGACAATGAAGATTCACTGTCAAAATTTTCAGTACTAAGGACATCAGAGTACTTCAACAAGCCTCATTGATGTTTGTTATCAATCTAATAAGAACAATAGCCAAAGTAACATTAGTAGTATATACAAACATATTTTGCTCTATACTGTGTTTTCTTAGCAGCCAAACAGAGTGATTACGGGTTTATTGAAGAGTGCTAACCATATAACAAGCAGATATAAAACTCAAGGAGCTTAAGCATCACTATAAGAATACTTCTACACATAAATATATATATATATATATATATATATATATATATAACTACATATATGGCTATACATATGAATTATACACAAACATATCATATATTAAGGGATAATGATACCAGCGGTGACGAATCATCCATTGTATTGCATGTGTTTGTGAGCCCTGCCACGGGGCTTCTTCTTCTTGTCCTACTTGGCCACTTTCAGCGTTTGCCCTCTCACCTTTCCGGCACGAGCCAGTAATCCATGAACCTTTCCTGCATAAATACTCGCCCCAAACCGATTAATCAACCGAATCAAACACACATGATAAAGAATTAGAAGTGCAAAATTGGAAACCCTAGATTTAATTGTACCGAGAGATCCAAGTATAGAAGGTGTCGAGCTTACCCATGGTTGATTGTTGCTTTTCTGAGTTTCGACGGCTACTGGTGTACTGTCTTCGATTGCTTGCTTTAGGCAAGAGCGCGACGACCAGAAAAGATTTGGTAATCGAAGAGATTAAGCTACTGATTTCCCTTGGCAATTCAGATGACAAGCTCTCAATTCAAATGGCAAGTTCTCTCTACACTTTCTCACTTCGATTGTTGGGGCTTTTGGCAAATTTGAAACCTTAAGAACATGTATTTGTGTTATTAAATCTAAATAAACCAGCGGAAGATATAAAAAATAAATAAACAAATAAACAAACAAAGAAATGAAATAATAGATAGATAAGATCGAAGAAGTCAATCCAAGATGAGATTAAAGAAGGACTGATTATTGCATTGAAGATCTATGTCAAACCATGATGGGTTCTCTGAAGAACGAATCGAACGTGGGGTTATCTGTGGAACCAAGCCCTAGCACTTGAAAACTCTCTGAAGAACATAAAATGGATAAAGAATAATAAAAGTGTTTGGATTTGTACGAAACGTATATTAAACGACGTAGTTTAATATACCCATCTAATGTTTGGTCAAAAAATAAAAAAAATTAAAAATTAAAAAATCATTGTGTGCTTGTGTGTATGGTCCTGATGCCGCCACGTGCATTTTCTCACCCAACCAAAACACAACAAAATTTTCTAGCGCCTAAATTTTGCCGCCAGAAAATTTCGACCGCCAATTATTAGGGATATGGTGACGGTCAACAGGGATCTGGTGACAAATCAAATTTACCGTCCCTAAAGGCTAGGTACTAGTGACGGTAACATGTCCCTAATAATAGGACCTTTAGTGACAGTAATATGTGACTGTCCCTAATAATAGGACCTTTAGTGACAGTTTTTTAGTGCGTCACTAAAAGACTGTCCCTAATAGCTTGATTTCTTGTAGTGTCGGAATTTTTCAGATCCGACTCCAATCTACAAAGATCAACTAGAACCAATACTTTGCAAGACAGACTATGATCTCGCCGATCTGAATCCAACTTCCAAAGATCAAGCTTCTCCTTCACGAATCAATCTTCTTCATTCCTATGGACGGCGCCATTGAAGATGCAAGAAAAATGCTTTCTATTTAGAAAGGATAATTCTACACTTCAAGAAATTTTCCAACCCCCTTTTCTTCTATTTTCAGTCTATTTATAAATTGTTATAAATCTTCTAGAAGCTTCCTAACTAACTCCTTGCACTGGGCTGTTCTTCTGGACTCTTCTTGGTTATGAGCTCAATTTTTTTTATTCGAAATCGGGCTTCCAACACGATCTTCTGGTCTTGAGCCTGACCATTGAAAACTTGGTTCAGGGCGGTTGCTCTTGCCCGATCCATTGCACCAGGCTCAAGCCATTTTTGGTATACTTAAGGTTATTAGTACCATTTATATGTCATAATCCAAAAAAATAAACCAAAAAAACAAAAAAAACTTGATGCGGCATGCCTTTACCATTCTCACCGTCCAATGCTCACACGCTTTATTAAGATATCAAAAAGTTAATGGTGGGCTACGAATAGTTAGGTGCATAACCAAGCAATTTTAGCAGCGGATCAACTGATAGTTTGAAATAAAATAAATTTGTGAAAGTAATTAATTAATTAATATATATATATATATATACACTTAAATGATAATAGAAAAAAAGTACTATCTTTCAATTTTAATACATATATTCTTAAATGATTGTAGAAAAAAAGTACTATCTTTCGATTTTAATATATATTCTTAAATGATTATAAACAAAAAGAGTATTTCATACATAATTTCACTCAACGAATACATTGAATAGAATGAGAAGAAGTAAAAGAAAAAATTATATTACATTTGGCTTTCCCACCTTCCTCTTATAATGCAATTTTTTTAAAGTAATGAAACAAAAAAAGGAAATAATAAAACTGAGAAATGGATCCTGTGTTTATCAGTTCATAGAGGAAAAAAATTAGAAATAATGCTTATGTTTATCCGCTCATTTCCTTATCTATAAAATATAATAATAATAATAATAATAATAATAATAATAAAAGTGAGACATGGAGTTTGTGTTTATCCTTTCAAGTTTATTTCGGCGCACAATTATAAACCATAGTTGTCAGACCTAAAAATCAAGAGAGATTTTATCCATTTATTAAAAAATTAAAATTTTATTCTTATCTAATACATTCAAGAATCAAACACATGTTAATCTTTTTAATCGTTTTTTCTTCATATAACTAACTATAATAATTATCAAATCTAATAATTTAATCGAAAATGTTAGTAAAGAAATTTCTACTAATCAAAATTTTGACTTTATTCAATACATTTAATAATTAAATTTTTTTTTTTCAAATAGTAATATCGGTGCATGCAAAATTTATATAACAGATGGACTGATTCCACAAGCACCATGTAGGGTAATATGGTACGTGATATAGTACGTGGACACAGATACATTTCCTCAGCACCGCGTGGAAGTTTCCTGGCAACCTCAGTGTCAAGTTTTTCTCTCATTTCACTCGGTTTTCTTTCTTCGTTTTTTTTGTTTTTTTTTTTCCCTATTTCACACATTAAACCCTCCTCTTTATAAATAGGGGAAACCAAGCCATACGTGAAATGAACCAAACACAGATAGATAGATTGCAGAGGGAGAGGGAGAGAGAGAGAGAGGAGTAGTTTTAGTGTGAAAATTAAAAGAGAGAGAGGTTTCAATGGAGTCAATGGACTATCTGCCACCAGGTTTTAGGTTTTACCCAACCGAAGAAGAACTGGTTTCCTTCTATCTGCATACCAAGTTAGAAGGGACCAGACCAGACCTGGACCTGGTTATGCCTGTCATCGATATTTATGAGTTCAATCCATGGGACCTCCCTCGTTAGTATTCTCATTCATTATTTTTCTTTCTCATCATCATATACACGTATATACACGCTCTCCTCTACGCTATGCAACCAAATTAATGAGAAAAATTAATCTCAGAATATGAAATCCTGAGATTAATTTTTCTTTCTATTAATTCATATTATTGAATATTGAAGCTTAAGATTGGGAAAAAAAAAAAAAAAAGACGCAAATAATATGAGTACAAGGACTAGAATTAAATAGATGTGATGAAATTAGCTAATATATATATATATATATATATAAGTTTTGATATAGTATATATTTGTTTGTGGAAGAATTTGCAGGAACGTTGACTCGTGGAGACCATGAACAGTGGTTTTTCTTTAATCCGATTCAAGCGAAAGAGGCGCATGGAGGAAGACCGAACCGGCTCACCACTTGTGGTTACTGGAAAGCAACTGGCTCGCCCGGTCATGTCTACTCTTCTCAAAACCGAGTTATTGGTATGAAGAGAACCATGGTTTTCTACCAAGGAAGAGCTCCAACTGGAACAAAAACTGAATGGAAGATGAATGAGTATAAAGCCATTCAAGAAGAAGCTTCCTCATCTACTACAATTCCAAGGGTAAGATCGACTTATACACCATATATATATATATTTAGAACCTATATGTATTCTGTACCTTATGTATCTAAAAGTACTCTCTCTTTTATCTCTCAAAGTGGAGGTTGAGGTTCAAATTTTTCATGGAAATAAAATTAATGTGTGAGTTATAACTTATTTGTTAGGACCAAAAAAGAAATTAATTAGATTATTTTATATTTCAGCGTTAAAAATTGATTTCCTTTTACATACATGTTTTCATTTAGGATCTTTTGTAATACAAAGTTCTAAATAGAGGATTTGAAAACTATATCATGAATTATGAATAGAACAAAAAGAGTTCAAGTTTTTAAAAAGCTGGTACTTCAAGGCCAACATGTGATGATAAAATTTTGTTTTAAATTAACCCTAATATATACATATATATATTGCATGTACGTATTCTCTATTCACCGTAAGTCCAAAACTAGGCCTCATATCTGCAAGCACATGCACACACATATTAGCTAGGTAAGATCACACTTCACAAAAATGATATCGATGAGAATTACAAGAAGCAATATAAAATGCAATCACAAATTTTTATCTTATATATTGTTTTGTTTTTGATATATCCTCTTGTGTTTATGCAGTTGAGACAAGAATTTAGTTTGTGCCGAGTGTATATCAAATCAAAATGTCTGCGATCATTTGACAGACGACCACCAGCAGAGGTGCTGATGGTGAGGCAACGGCAGTTCAGCAAGTTAACTGTGGTAATCATGACGGAGCAGCAGCATCTGGTCATCAGAATCTAAATCCAATTATGATGGATGGAACAAGCTCACCACAAAGTTCATCCTCAGACGACCTACCTATTAATCCTTCTCAAGGTACGGATAATGATTTCTTGGATATAGCTCTTGAGAGCTCATCCTCAGGAGACCAAACTAATATTTCTCAAACTCGGGAAAGTATTCGGAATTTGGATGTGGCTAATGGCAATGGAGCTAATCCTTCTGAAACTACTACGCAGGGTGGTCACAACTTGGATGTGGCCAATGGCAATGGAGCTAATCCTTCTCATACCACGACAACAGCTGACAACTTAGACATGGATAATGGCAATGGTGGCATGTGGGATTGGGAACGAGTGAATTGGTTTTAAGAGAAGGATCATAAATCAGAAATGGGAGTCCACAAGGTTTTAACCTGCAAGAAAATAAATATGGTAGTGTTTTTTTTTTTTTTTGTTAAATAAAGTAGTTACCTATGTAAGTTAAAAATAAAGTAGTTATCAATGGAGAGAAGCCAAGAATCCTACTGACATGGAAAATGTACGAGCATGAAGTTTTGTAAATTATCCTGTACTATCTATCTATATATATATATATATAGATATATATATATATATTTGTGAAATTTAGTTCTTTGTTCTTCTTATTCTTCTTCTTCTCTTGCCATTTGTTGTTGAAAATAGATAAAGGATTTAGATTAGCATAAATTTTGCTCATGAATAAGCTTTGGCATTTGGTTGGCATCAATTTTACATAACATAAATCTTGAAAGTTCACAAGGTCTTTAATTACAAGATATTTTACATTGTCTGCTTATCTAATAATTAATTTTACTACAACTCACATTATTTTTAAAAGCTTTGGACCAGAAGATTGAAGAGTCTTTAATCAAATTATTTAATCGGTTGTTAAAGAACATCCAGGAAGAGTTCCGAATTCTAATAGATTATTGAAACCTCTAGTCGAGTCGAGGTCAACTCTGAATAACCATTTCTGTTGTAAGGGTAATTTAATTTCTGTTTCTATGTATATTTATGATGACAAAATGAGATAGAAATGACTCCTGCTATTTCTTGAGACAACTAACATAGTAACAAATAAATATAAAACAATCCCAGTAACATTACCATTTTTACCCCAAAAAAAAATATTATTAACTAGCTCCACTGTTTCTAATGAATAATAGTAGCTTTCATCTACTCGGTTGAACAAAGTATGGCTGATATGTTTTAACTTATAATTTTATATATACAAGTAGGGAACAATATTGAGAATTTCAACTGAATTAATTTTTTGCAATGTAAAACAATGGAACACCTAATCTCGATCAATTATATAAACTTGAAGAAAAAGAGTCATATGTTTCAGGTGATTTTTTTTTTTTTCTTGGATAATAAAAAAATAAAAGTTGAACCTTTAATCACACCCTTACCCATATATGATGCGAGTACAACTCTAATCATCTGTAACTATACAAATAATTAGGTAGTTTATGCAAAGTAATCACACTAATGAGTACTACAATATTTATATATGGTTATTAATTGATGCTATTTGCAAGAAATTATAAAATAGCTTGTTGTAATTGAAAACTGTTTGTACTCTGCAAAAGAGTGATTTGAGAGAGTATATAATTAACGTGCCCTTTCTTATTTATAACACATGAAAGTTAACCAGCTAGCTTCCACAAAAGTTATATTAGTAGAACCGAACGCTTCTACCGAAATAAACATCGAATCTTACGTGGCTTTGTCTACGTCAAATAAATAAATATTTCTTTATCCTCGCTCCTTTTTCAAGATCACCCACTTTTTTCTATTCATAAATCTTCCAAGAATAAATCTTTCCAATTTCAGATGAAAAATATGTAGATTTTTTTTTTTTTGTAAGTAATTTATCCACACAAGAGTTATCATTAACCCAGAAAAGAGAAACGGATGAATCTTCTCAAAATTTCTATTTGATTTTTATGGATACAAAATCTGAAAGAGAGAAACAACTGTTGTAGCTTTTATTTTCTTTTTCTTTTTCTTTTTCTTTTTCTTTTTTGTTCTGTTTTGGTTTTGTGTTTCTGTATTTGCAAAACATGAAGAAATTTAATTTTTTTTATTTTATCTTTAATTTTACGAAATCAAAAAGGGAGAGAAAACCAAAATCAAAGATAAAGAAAATAATCTGACGTAGCTGAGTCACGTTAAATTCGACTTTTTATTCCGTTGTTTGGTTCGGTTCTCTTATCATTTTCCTTAGTAGAAAGATAAATTTTCAAATTAAAACCAAATGGATATATAACATTTTAGAAATTAAAATTGAAATATATGTCCAAGAAAATATATAAAACAATCGTGGCAACAAGTTTCGCGTATTTTCTTACGGTTTGTCAAGTCTTTTTACTAAACATTTCTTAGAAGTTTTCTAGGCATTTCCTACGTTGCAATCTTTAACTTTTGGCACGATTGTTTCCGTAAAAAAAAAAATCTTTTACTTTTGGCCTTATTGAATAAGACAAAATGCCCTTGGAACATGATTGGATCAAACACGTCTTCAATTGAAACCAAACCACTTTCACATGGTTTGGTACTGTGACTCAAATGATGAACGACCAAGAGACGAACTTACTTTGGTTCAAATGATACACATTTCATGTCCATTTCATTTTTTAGTTACATGAGAAATGTCAAGTAATCAAGTATTGGATCCACCTCATATATTTGTATAATAATTTTTTTTGGTAAGTAAGATTTAATTATTTCATGATATCAAATTTGCTTTATATCAACACAATGAAGTTTTTTTTTAAAGAGAATAAAAAGATTAAAAAAAATAAAAATTGCCCCCTAACTCTTCTGAGTTTTGACTCTTGCAATGTTGATTATCAATTCTGACAAGTGGATTCCAAGAAAAATTAAAAAAAGCAACTGTGTGAGAAGTAAGATATGTTCACCATGAAAGCCAATACAGGCTAGTTCTTTTTTAATTCTCTAGCGCTGGTTACATAAATTAAGTAATAGAAAATCTGACTTATAATACAAACTAATATATTTTCTCACATCCACTGACTAAGATAGTTTGTAATGTTTACAAAATTTATTCTGGTCTTCGCAGAAATTTGACAGAAAAATAGAACAGATTATATATATATATATATATATATATATATATATATTATAAATAGATTTATATAATACGGAGTACACGCTAGTTTGTAGTACTAGGTCAGTTTAAAATGTGTTAGCCTTTACGATTAAAATGCATGCATAGAAAATTGACCTTCAAGAGTCAATTTGTGCAAATTGCTGATTGTTAATAATGTTTTGTTTCTGATATAAAAAAAAAAATAGTAATAAATAATAATAATAATAATAATAATAATAATAATAATGTTGTGTTTGGAAGTACTAAATTAACGTTTGAAAATTAGATTTCAACAAAAAATAGTTAAAAATTTCAACTAATTTATGCTCTAAGACGCCATTCAGCACTACCAATAATAATATAAGAGTTTTTTGTTTTATACATTATACCTTTCCTTTTTTTTTCTTTTTTCTTTTTAAATGCCGGACCCTGTCGCACCACAAGGCGCTATTTGCGAGTTGGGTTGTTTGGGAATGCAGCCCAAATCGGGCGGTAAATTCCGTCCAAGGCTAAATACGGACAAGAGACCAATAGCAAACAAGTACCGTGAAGGAAAGATGAAAAGGACTTTGAAAAAAAGAAATGATAAGAATCCAACTCCTAACTCGTTAAATCATCTACTAATTATAGCTTCTTCTTTTTCGGAAAATTACTAATTATAGCTTTCATTTCTGTGATGGTTTCAATGATGTAATGTGATAAACCTCCTTTGTTAATGGTAATTCTTACATAAACCAACTTGCCATTAATTAAAAGATCCGAATCAACACTGTAGATATATTATGGGCTTATTTGATTCAGTTTTAAAAAAACATTTCTCACCAACTCAGAAAACTATTTTCTTAGAAGCATAAAAGATTGAAAACAAATAAATTTTCATTTTAAACTAAATTTTCAAAAATTGCTAACCAAGTAAATTTTTGTACAGTTTTTTTTATTTTGAGTTCTCATAATAAAAAAACTGTTTTAAAAAAACTGAACCAAACATGCCCTTGACACTATAAGCATGGCCGAGCTGGGATAATAAATGAGAAGGTCCTGCACCAAAAATCATAAAAATTATGTTAGGAAGATCCACTTCAACCAATATTCTGTCCCGAGGCACAACTAGTGTTCCTGGAGGAACACTAATTTCTTTTTATTTTAATTTTCTTTCAGATTTACAAAAGTGATGTGCTAAACACACGTTAGAACCTAATACATAAAAACACACTACATTCTTGCAACAAATATGATGATGGAGAGAGAAGTGAGACCCGATCTGCATAAGAGCTCATGAATTAGACAATGGCACGGGAAGATAAGATCCAATGTACCAAACAATAAAGCCACAAGGTCTGCGTTTCACTTATAACAAGGACAGCAGCAATAACAAAAATAATGGAGCACATGTAGAGAAAATTAAAATCTCTTATTATCATATATCATATAGAATCTATTTACCAATACTACTAATGTATGGTAAACATCAATACTTATGGCATCTATAAGATCAATGGTAAAATAATCAAAACCCTAGCAAGAAAATTATATGATTTCCCCTGGATAGCCATGCTACCACCTACCAGATTGTTCCCAGTCAAACAACCATTGCATGTCATTGTACGTGTTTACAAATGAAATTAGAACTTCAACTTGTGAAACAAAAAGATGCAAGTAATACATGACTTTTGTCTTCCAAAGATGTACATGAGAAAATATATATTAATATATATTTTTTGGGTAAATTACATGAAAGAGATTATAGTTTTGAATAGTGTGAAATTCGCCATTTTTTCTCCTGTCCAGTTAAGCTATTAAATATATTTTACATTTGATCTGTTAGAAACAATCCCAACAATCATGCGCAACTTACAGAAGTCTCACTTTGACATGTTTAAGATTCATCACCAATCATCTTCAAGGCTAGCACGATGAAAACACAAAACAGTGCAGACAAATATGAAAAAGGAGGTAAATTCGATTAACATAGCTCCTGTCCCAATCAAATCTGCATGCCTGAGTATAATAGGAATGGCTAAGCTCCCAACCGCTGATGCCCCTGTTAAGAACTTAGCAGCATCTATCCAGCTGCAATAATTCAAAAAGAAAAATAAATAAATTTTTTTTTTTTTGAAGGAACAGAAACAGGAAACAGGAAGAACCTGTCAATGTGATTGCCACTAAGAAAGCACAAATGTTACTAAGAGTGGGCAATCAGAAGATTAAATATATATATAATAAACCTGTCATGTGATTGCCGTTAAGAAATCACAACTTCTAGTTAGAGTGGGCGATCAGAAAATTAAATGGTAAAGACCAATGTTACATAGAAGCAGGTAAATGTTTTGGGTAAGGTACGTGTCTAGGCATTGATTTGATCAGATGCCCATATTTGGACATGCTTCTTGCAAATGTGTTAAAAATGGTTATGCTAGACTCATCTGTACAACACTAATGTCGTTTTCTTTTGAATAGAAATACTTCCAAACATTTCCAAGCGCCATGCATCATAGAGGAAAACATGTATGCAGCACACTGGCCGGGGGGTGAACCTGTAAATTAGCAACCAGCACGTTAACAACCACCTCATTACCCGAGGAAAAAGGAAATCTCATCAGTTACCTAGTAGACGTGTATTGCTCTTGGTTCGTATAATCCCAGCGACAAAAGGAGTGGGGAAGGAGTTACAAGGAGTAAGCTGATAGTCATTATTTAGTGCTTGTCCCACCTAGGCATTATGATAGGGAAAGACTCAAGACAATCTAACCATAAGCATTATTTTGCATAGCAGATGATGGAGTATTTAAAGCCAAAATCTCTTATCAAATTATATATTCTATTTCAGATAGCCCAAGAATCAGCTAAGCTCCAAGGCATGGAAGAGTTGTAGGAGCAGATTATCCTAAGATACCATATGAAATGTCTAGTAAAATGGACACAGCCAAACCCATCATTACCAGCTATCCTCGTCACACAAGGGAACCTTCATTTCTGTCATTTGACCATGTTTACTCTATTTTTCTTAGTCTTATAAAATCTTGATTAAAATCTTTGATACCTCTTATCCACCAAAACCAAGCTCCACCACCATCACCAAAACCCAAATGAAACAACTTGCCTCCTATTCTTCCTTCGTCCCAAACGCCGTCCTCACTCCATCTGTGTCGCGTTTAGTCTACATGCAATAGACCTCTAAAATAATTTTTCAAAACATTTCGTGCCTTGTGTCTTTTATTTTCTATTTTGTTCTTCAGTGGGAATTATGGCAAGTATTACATTTACACCTGGGACATTTTTGATTATACATCAGCTGGGTGATCTAAAGAAGGGACTTGGATTCTCTCCAGCGCAAGAGAGGGTCCTGTACTCCATCAAAGGTGGAGAATGCATCATCGGGTGATAAGAGTGGAGCATTATAGGTGGGTCCCACCTCCAATCTCCACCCTTGGTGGAGTACAGGATCCTCTCCAGCATTGGAGAGGATTCTTACCCACAAGGAAAATGGAGTATTTTTATACAACAATTTCCATCTGAGTTGCTTCCGGTCACTAGTGAGCTGCTGTTGTTTGTTGTTTGAAACAATTAATATTTTCAAAATAATTGCCAGAATTGATCTTGAAAGAGCACCCTGGCTTTCTATTTCTTTCTATTTCTGTATTATAAAGAAAACGAGAAGCTGAGAAAGAAAGCTCCTCTTCTTTTTTTTCCCGGGTAATTAGAAAACCCTTCTTCACCACCAAGAGAACGGAGCCTTGCTATCTCAACGACTCCAAAAGGCCCCTCATCCCAGCAATTATTTGGTTCACAACCACAAAAAACTAACACTAATACAATTCATATTGTTATCTGCAACAAAACAAGAACATAAAAAGATAAAGGTTTCTGTTCTTTTATCTTCTTTTTTCTTCCGGGAAGTTCTTGAATAATGCTTTTTTTTTTTTTTTTGATAAGTAAGCTCTTGAATAATGCTATTGAGAGAGACCCCTCATGACAAGAGCCATGAGCTCTCCACATTTAACTAATGGATTGAAAGATGTATTAAATGATTCATTTGACTTCTCAAAAAATTGAATCAATCCAATGGTTAAATGTGGGAATATCATCGCTTTTGTCATGAGGGAGCCTTTTGATAGCATTACTCAGTTCTTTATCTTCTTGATAAAATAGTCTTAGTTTTTTTCCCCACCTTTTGTTTGAATATGTTTGTTTAATAATTATACAATGAGAACAAATAAGTATAAATGGAATTAAGGTTTTTATGACTATAAGTGCATTTTATATTGAATAAAATAATTGCTTAGTAGTTTTATACCCAGAGGGGGGAGAGATTATTTGGTGGGGTTTTAGATGTACTAGAATCATGTACTTGCTTCTGATTTTCATGCTTTAGCTGAAGAGGTTGATTGGAAAATGCAAAGGCCTCGAGCATGGTGAAAATTCGAAAAACAAGGAAAAGGACTCAACAGAATCAATTGGGGAAAGAAAATTATAGGAATGTAGAGAATTCATTCCGATTTCCCATGGTATCACAGAGTCAAAATAAAAAAATTCAATCATATTTAGGGAAGCATTCTCTAAGAAACCCATAATGACGATGATGATGGATCTCATCCTCATCCATGCCATATGAGGATGATATGCATTCAATGTTACCCTATTTTATTCACACATATATACGCATGTGCATAAATAAATGAATCAAATTTATGAGTTTATTCTCTACTGGTCTATTTTTTCGTTGTAATGTCACTCAGTGTTCAGGTACCCAACGAAGAACTAGCAAAAAATAAGAGCAAGAGATAGGTGGTGCCGCTGTCGCAATGCTCGGATGGTTGAAGGAGGTGATGATGACGACGATGACGTGGTTCATGATTTTTTTTTTTTTTTTTTTTTTTTTTTTTTAATTAGAGAAAAAAACGGAGAGAGGAGAAAAGGGTGGAACGCGAGTTTCAAAGGGGAGAGGCGAATGAGAAGATGTGGAGAATGGATATAGGGATAATATGGTCATTTCACGTTCATATACTTTTTCATCAAAATACTATGAACAAATGAAGGAAACTGACAATTCCCACTTAAATTTTAAGTGTAGTTAAAGCATGGCACAAGTGTGTGTATCATCGTGAACATAATATTCAATTAAAACAAATACAGTTCACAGTTTCAGTAGCAACCTATGGCTTCATTATGTGCATTTACACCAAAATTCAGCACAAGCATTGCCCAATTTATCTATTCATACATGGTAAGCACATTGAACCTGCTGAAATGCTCAAATCCATTTCTATGGTTCCAAGCTACAGCATGAGTGAAAATTTTATGCCATTTACAACCAAACATTTGAGACAAATCTGAAAAACATGGTTAAAAAAACCACAACTCATGTTTCTAGGGGAAAAAAAATTAAAAATATCAACCAAACATAGATTAGTATATTCAATCCATATGCATCCAATGAACATTTAAGACATGTTATCAAATACTATATGCAGGACAAACTGAAGGAGCTAGAAATAGAACCAAAGCACAACAAAGTTCTGGAATCAAACACAGACATGAACTGTCGGATAAATAAATAAAAGACCAAAGCAAATTTAAAATTGTTAAACCTTATTCATTTAAAATTATTCAGCTAATGCTTAGCAAGCTTCACTTTAAAAGTGCAGTACAATGTTCAAGGGATTGGCTAAAATAAATACTCACCCCCCACCATCGCGGCTGGTTAAGAAATGAGTAGACCCACCTCCAAAGAACATACAAGGCATCGGCACCAAAACATACATGAGAGCTGCAAGAACAAGTAACTTCAAAACATCAACCATTCAGATGCAACCATTATACTAAAAATTATGCCGAACAATTTGTGGTTCGCTCAGACACCTGATAACATTGGCCACCAGTTGTTGTACACTGCACAAGCCTGCAGCCAAAATCAGAAAAATACCTAATGAATGCACATACATACACAAACATCTGTATTCATACACAAGCATGAACACACGAATAACAAAGCAAAAAGTGAAACACAAAAGAAAATAAATAAATAAATAAAATAAAATAAAATGAATAAAGGCATAGTTTGACCACCATTCAGCCAGAGAAGTTTTGGCACATATAAAGCCCTCAAAACAACCACAAAAAGAAACTTGAATAAAACATTATGTTAGGGGTTATCAAATACTTTGCCTGTATTGTTCCTAGCGTTCTATCTTTATTCAGCCAATCTCAACCCGAAGGAAAGGGTAGGAGGGAAAGGAAAGGAAATGATATCATTTCTTTACTTCCAACCTCTGTCCAACATTCTACCATCAAACAAGAGCTATTAGACTAGCCATAATGGGCAGTTAAGAAGAAAAATATTGATGAGATGAATGTGTAACAAGCTAAGGCAAAAAATTAGAAATGCACACAATTGTGAGATAGACGAAGTAGCACAATTGAAGAGAAAATGAGAGAAAATTGATTAAGGTGGTTTGGCAATGTGTGGCAAAAAAATTTCACAAGTGAGGAAGTGTTGTAGTCTACATTAAGGGTAATGCTAGGGAAGGGGAGAACCAAGGCTAATATGGTTTGAGATTGTAAAAGGAAGACATGATAACATGTGCCTTAATTGAGGTTAAGGTCATAGTTTGTGCGAATGACACACAAAATTTGTATAACCTACTCAAATAGTTAGAAATAAGCTTCGTTGAGTATATACTTATGTTCAAAAATACAGGAGTTAAAATCATTTCAAATGAGATGAAGAAAATATATAGAAACAAAACATAGCAAAAGCATGAACAATTTACATCTACTACATGAGCTGTGCGGGATGAAAATAATATCTGCCTAAAGTTGTACTCTCCAAAGAAAAAAGGAGAGGGAGAGAGAGAGAGAGAGTACAACATGACTCCTACTTGAAACTTTAAAAATAGGACATAAAGAACCTAAAGACTTCTTTTCCTTTTCCGCATTCAATAGTATGAAGCACCAAATCTGCAAAATGGGTTAAGAAAACTAGGATATTTGGAAAGTTGTTGCCTTAAAGGTCTGAATGAATCAATCCAAGCTGATTTTTTTTCCTTTTCCTTTTCCTTTTCCTTTTCCTTTTTATTGGGCCTTTAGATAAGAGAACCGACCCAAGTGTTATACTATCGAATCTTCATTCATCTAAATTGGAATTCCTCCCAAGTTGAACATGAATTTGAACCAAACTCTAATTGCTTATTCAAGCTTGGTTCAAGTAGGTTCAGCAGAACTTGAGCAATTTTCATCCCTATGTTACGACGACATATGCTGTGTGTGAAACTAAGTTGTGAAAGATCAAATAAATTTTATTTTCAAAATTTCCAATGTGCAGAACCATCAGGCATATACAAAAATTATGACTACAAAACGTACCAAGATCTGTAGCAGAATGCTGGCTGAGAACATAAAAGCAAGTCCAGCAAGCCTGCATATTTTCAATGTTATGTCAAAAATTTCAATTGAACATACAACAAAAGCAAAAGGACATATTTAAATTTCCAACTTACACTGATTAAGACAAGAAAAACAACATTTAGCAGCCCCACGACCCCAAAGTACCAAAAGAGAAAACAATTAGTATGAGACGCAATAAAAAGGTCACAAAATAAAATATTTAATACATTACATGCCTAAAATCCAACAAAATGAAAGCTTTAAATCCAAAAATTAGGTAAACAGTCCATCACTCCCAAAACCTTGATTAACACGAAACACTCTAGGCAATGCCTTTTTTAACTCATTCTTCAAAGCATATGTGTTAACAAAAGGAAAAATAATGTAATGGCCTTCTGCCTTGGTCCTTATTTTGAAGATATAACCAGTTAATCCGAGGCAGCATAATTACCCTTCGAGAAGCAAATAGGCCAACAAAAGCATTCCAGTATATCAGAATGGAAATTAAGTTCCGGGATTCATTTTAAGAGGGATTGAATTGATGTAGGTATGTCAAGAGCTCCTTAATTTGCTGCATGCCTGCTGCTGACCTTAATGCATACTGCTGAGAGGAACTTGAAAAAATGTAAAATTACTTTTGACCTAATAGAGCTACTATAATTTCAGAGGAACAGCTGTGCTAATGGAACTTTAACGTAGTCATCGTCCCACAACAGGCAGTTGAGATTTGAGACTTCATTACTGTCATCATAAAAATCATGTTCTTTTTGAGACTACATTACTGTCATCATAAAAATCATGTTCTGATTTAGAAATCTGTTATAATTTCTAAACTTCATAAACTAGTGGATTCATGGTGTACATCTTTATTCTCAAGTGAAATCCAAATCTGTCTCCGCAGAAAAATTAACTTTTAAACTAGGTCCAATTGGTGAGACTTAAGGGAACCCCACACATTATTGGTTTTGGTTGGCACGTAAGAAACAGCAGAGGAAATCATAGGAGGAAACATACCCTACCAAGATAAATCCATAAATTACCATATATCTAATGGATATGTTTGGATTTACAAAAAAAAAAAACAAAACAAAACAAAAAAAATCAAATCGTGTCAAGCGTCAACAGTGGAAAGGAGGAGAGAATGGAGAAAGGGGGAAAAAAAAAAAAAGAGGGTGATGAAGATGGAGAAGCAAAAATATTTTGAAAATTATTATTATTATGGTTTTTCAATAGTCAAATCTCAAACTCCTCATTTTGATTTTCAAGAATTAACTTTCAAACTGCATTTAGATAAAATAAAATTAATAAAAAATGTGGAAATCTGCTACCCACAAGAAATGTACTTTAAAGAAAATGACCAACCCATTATGTGACGCTAATATAAATCAAGAAAGCAAAAAATCTCAAGTTTGGATTATACACACACATACATATGCGCATACTAAAGTTAGTTAGGTGTTGGGAAGGGCGAAGCAAACAAATGTACAGAATAAGAGAGATAAAATACAAGCTTATCAAAGTGGCAACTATTATTGCATACTGTCGGCTAGCACTGGCTAACAGAAAGAAGAAATCTTGAAGAAATCTTGAAGCAATTAAAAAAAAAAAAAGCAAAGATAGTAACAGAGACATAAAAACAAACTATACTCATGGGAGATTAATACGACAAGACTCTGCAATCTAGAAGACGAAAACTGCTGATAAATTTCAATATTAAACTTGCAAGCTGTTTGCTATAGATAATCACAACTTCGCTGACTAAGATCTTTCAACAATCAACGTGACTGCCAACCATCATATTTTAGATACACTCTCAGAAAATTAATGATAAAACACATAAGAATACCAGTTACTTCAATCCCAAAACTCATTACTTATTGCACTTCCTTTTGTCCTGTCAATGAAGTCCAATTTTTTTTTTTTTTTTTTTTTTTCGAGGAAGCCTAACAATACAAGCAAAACAATTGTGTGCCAATAACTGTATTGGCATTTCAAATTTGGTTTCTCGCATTACTTTTGGCATCAGTCTATGTAACTCCTGGTTCTCACCAATATTCCTAAAGATTTACAACTCTTATTCAAAGTTCAATTCAAGAAACCATAGTTGATGCATACTTGTATTTTACTATATGAATTCATTAGAATCAAATTCAATTTAAATTAGAAATTCAGAAATAAAGTCCGGCCTTGGACGACCTTAGACTTCTCAGTCACAACTAAAAAAAATAAGAACTATATTAATTTTAATGGGAGAAGAAGACCAACTTATCAAAAAAAAAAAGGGAGAAGAAGACCAGCTAGTCTTAATGGTGGTAAAGGTTACTAGGAGGTGTAATTAGCAATTGGAGAGATTGGTGGCAGAGTTAATAAAGTGTCAACAGCTGTGATGACTAGTTTTTTTAAATGTAAATGTAGATTCAGTAAAGCCCACTGCTGAGTAGGTGATAGTTTAATCTTGGAAGTGGTCATAAGGATCAAAAGAAAGTGGGACGGTGGGGGTGACCAGTCCACAAAATTGTGGTTATAAACATATGGTAATAGTGTGCCACAGACACAAGGTAATGGCAATAATAATTGATTGGTAGCATTGTCACGATACCGGAGGATGTAATAGCAAAAATGATATCAGGATGGTGGAGTGGTCTCCTCGGCAGTGCCAACAGTTTGCTGAATGCAAGGCGGTAACACGAGTGATGTTATAGATGGTAAGACGTTCAATGTGTGGTTCTGAATGCAGCAAACATGTGCTAGCTATGGTGGCGGAAGTAGTGAAATTAGATTCACCACTTGGTTGCAACGTCACAGTGCTTCCCAGGTACCAAGGATATTGAAGACATGGTCGCTAGGGCGGCAACTCGGGCTGGCCCAACCCGAGCCCAGCCCAAAGAATTTCAGGTTTGGGCTGTTTAAATTGCAATTCGGTTCGGACTTGAGTTGAAAAGTAAGAATCCAATTTCATTTCAGGCCAGGCTTGGGTTATTGTGACAGGCAACCCAAGCCCATTCCGAATTACAAAACCCGATGAACCAAACTATGAACCCGATTATATATAAATATTATATATATCATATATGTATATAGATTTATATTGGTTGCATATGATTGGTTATTTAGTGATTTCACTTGGTTGTAACATATATGACATTGAACTTATTAGCTTTTGATCCATTGGTTATTATGTCATGCCAATATCTTCTTCTTCTTCTTTTTCTCTTTTGAAGTTAAAGCAAACACACACACACACATATCCACATGTCCCTAGTGGGACTTGAACCCTCAACCTCATGAAAACGTTAAGGTTATTTCATTTGTTATTACAACAACCCAAATTCTACCTCAAAATAACAACCCAAGTAGAAAGCTCAAATTCAAGCAAGCTTAAAAAATTAAGGATGGGTTGGGCTCGAGTTGATGGTAGGGTTGGATTGGGTAAGGTTGAAGATTTCATAGCTTAGGTTTAGCCTCCAACCTGCCAAGCTGCACCCCTGGTGTTATTGACAAGAATGTAGAAGAAAAAAGGGATGAAAAACGTTGATTTTGCCGTTCAAACTCAAATGATATTCCTCATTTGCAACCTGTAAAATCATTTTTTTCAACTGAAACCCGATGGAATTAAGAATTAATGTTGAATTTTGTTTGTCCCTCGATGAGTTGCCAAAAAAATCCAAATATGAAACTGGAACTCTAAATGCAAACCCATTTATACCCCAATTTTTAAGAACAGTCACATAAAATGTTGGCCTGAATATAGCCAATATAAAAGTATATAAGTAACAAACAACCAGCTAAAAAAATAGAACTCACAAATTGGTATGAAAGGTTTGGAAAATGTCCAAAAATCGGTATGGACAACACAATAAACATATTGAAACAACTGCAGATAAGCAATCAAATGTTGACCATTAAGGATCAGTTCAAACCAGCACAACTTTTAATCTAAACCCACCAACCATACCATCTAACTTAAATTTATTTCCATTTCTGGCTAACAATTCTATAGATCTCTTATTGCAGAGCTGTTACCACTTACTTGGCACTTCACATATCATTTGTCACACTTATTTTCCAACAGCAGACTTCCAAACCCCAATTTAACGTAGGCACAGATATGTATACAAAAAAATGCAATAAACCCTATTGCAATGACCGCCCACTTCCTTCCCTGATTTGATAAATCTTTCCTACCTCAACCCAGTTCTAGTTTCTTGAGTCTAAGACAATGAGAATTCCATTACGTTGCGCTTAGAGGCATAAAATTGTCTTCTTGGAATTAAAAACTAAAAATAAATAAATAAATAAAAAGGTTCGAAACTTGAACTAAGCTTCCTCCTGTTCCAATTCCAATTCCAATTCCAAGTCCAACTCGAAGGAACCGATTCCATACAACGAAACATAAATTCAACATATTATACATAAAATATCAACGATTTGACCGTATAATTATACGGATACATCAGTTCATACGAATTGTAAGTTTGTGTTCTTTCGTTATCTTTTTAAACTTCAGTACAGGGATTGAAAGATGAGTTACTAAGTAATATGAGATCGAATTTTTAATCAAGGGAGAGAAAGAGAGATGTCGTACCTTCGATCGTCATCGCCATGTTTGCGAATCACAGCGGCAAAACGAGGTATGAAAAAATATATATATCGGAGAAACAAAGGGAAGGCTCGCCTCTGAATGGTCCAATATTGTGATCGTCAAAAAGAAAGACGGTGAAGAAGCAAAGAAAAACCGAGAGTTACCAAACCAAAAATAAAATAAAGGGGGTAAAATCACAAAAAAAATAATCAACCCTATGGGCTAACTTGATAAAATTTTATAATTTTATAGTTTAAGGGTGTTTTAATTTTTGTAGTTTTTTTTTTTTTTTTTTTTGGCACTAATTTAATAATAAAGGAGGGTTTTGTGATTTTACTTCTAAAATAAAATAAAAATTATGGTATTTACAATAAGAAATAGAGACACTGGGATTGGAGAGCAGATGTTAATATTGTAGATTGATGTATTTCAGTTCGCGTTCTAAAAAAAAAATATATGTGTTTTAGTTAAAAAGGCCTGAACTAACAAAGAATCTATGTCAAGCAAGCAACATCAAGGGCAATAAAATATGAAAAATATTGTATTTTTTTATATTTATAGAATAAAACAAAAGGATTTGCCAATAAAAGTGTTAATGCTACAACCAGTCAATAAATTGTTAAAACTTCCATAGAAGCCGGACTAAGACCTAGATAACAAAAAAGCACAGATACTTCTAGAGCGACATTCTCTTATCGAATACGTGTCATATTTTTTAAACGTATTCATAATTTTAAAATATATTTTATATTTTTAGCACGTATTGGATATTTTTCATATACTTTTTAAGTATTTCGACATTCATAACATATTTTTAACAAGTTTGAACATTAAAATGTAAATTTTTTAACAATAATAACATAATATAATTTGTTAAGAAAAAATTAAAATTTTATTAAGTGACGTTGAGGAATGTTTGTTTTATATGTTGTGAAATTTCTATGTTATATTATTGATTGTATTTAAATTCATACTCTTTTTTTAAAAAAATTACTAAATTTTAATTTTATATATATACAAAAGAAAATTAATAATTTTTTTATTGCCGTACTCATATCCTATTTTTTTAAATTTACCATATTATTGTATCCGTATTATATCGTGTCGTATTCATATCTATACTTTCTAAAAAATAAAAAAATAAAATAAAATAAAGCTTAACTTATAAAGCACCGTTCTGACTTTTAAACTTACCCAGCGAATTCACCGACGGTGAGTCGGCACTCGGCACATTGAAATTTCGTCAATCTCAGGGAATAAAGCTATATAAGAGTGTCCTAAGTGATTTTATTATTATTATCATTGTTTAAAAAAAAAAAGAAGTTTATTGATCTTAAACGCAAATGTAGTACGACTAAAACACAATCATCATCATATATCATTGAATTCGTAATAATATTTTGTGAGAATTATTTTTTAATTAAATAAAAAGAGAGTAATTCTAAACATATTTGTTCAGAGTGTGATAGAACACATTTACCTCTTTAACAGAATCTAATATAATTTGAATATGATTAGAATCGTATAAGTGGCTTTAGATATTTTATTAATCCGATCAACTTTCATATCTGATGCAATTTGCAAATTGAATAAAGTTGGGGAAAAAAAATGTCTTGTAGCCAAAGTCAATATTTAACTAATATTGTGAAAAAATAAAAATAAAAATAAAAAAATATTATAACCCATTGTTTATTGTGAATTTTAAATTATTATCCAAAAACGCTCATGAGAAAGAAAAAAAAAATATAAGAATTGGAAGTTTAATAAAGATGTGTCCTAACCAATATTCTATATTAGGAGGTCGTAGAAGAAACAAGTATTTTTTTTGAATAATTTCACGTACTCTTCAAAACGACAAATATCGCATAATTCGATTTTTTATAATGCGAAACTTGCATCTTCTGTTAGGACTATTTCTCCAGAATGTCCGTAGAGTTCTTTTCTACGAATTTTAACAAACTCTCGAAATATTCCTTCAAGGTCATTAAAATTGGTTAAGAGTGTTGATTTTTGCTCTTTCCTTTTCAAGGATTGATTATGTCTTAACCATCCTAAAGCGTCATCTTGGAGGGTTGCATCTATATAGTCAAGAAAGCGTTCTTTAGTCCAAGTGGCCTTATAATTAGTGATAAGAATTACAAGTGATTGTGCCCATTCATCAATGATTTTCAGTTGATCTTTAAATGGGAAATTTGAAAGATAGATAAGTACCATTTTGAGCAATTGGATTTTTGTTTAAATCATTTTTTCTAGGAAAGGATGGACTTGGTTGATCTATGTCCTCTACTTTGGTAGCCAGAAGAACTGTTTCTGCTGTTGGATAGTTTCCATAAAAGGATTCATCTAAGTTCGTTTCAGGTCTTCTTTTTTCACTAGATGAAGCTTCTTGTTGTGGTTCAGCTTGAATTTCTTCGTCTACAGATTCACATGTTTCTGAATAATCTTTTTCTTCTTCAAAGTCTGAATTATCAGTGAGAACGTTGATTTGTTCTTCTAATTCGTTATCGGATATTATGTTTGTATTTTAAAGAAATATCTCTGATTTGATTGATGATGTGGTTTCTTTCATCAATAGATAAGTTTGGTCAACATACATCTGTCTTGGACAATCAAGGAGATCTACGATGTTATTGTACTCTTTTTTATCGTAACTTCCTGATGGGGTATCATGAAGTACAAAAATGTCTTCAATTTCACAGTAAAGGTTTTTTTTACCTTTTTACTAGGAGAGGAAGTAGATGGTTTATCTACTTTAGAATTGGGTGGATCAGGTGGATATAAATCAAATAATTTTGAATTCTTTAATTTTTCTAAATCAATAATCATCTAGTCAATTTTGTTCTTTGATTCGGTACTGTTTGCCAGATCTATGGGCTGAGCAAGGGTTTTTACCTTGTCATTTATTATCTCAATAGCTTCTTGTATACAATCAAGAGAAGACTCTATATGAGTTCTTGATGTATTTAATTAAATTACTCTGGAATTTGTTATTCTGAAATTTCAAAGCGAACCATATGTGTATAGTTTAAGGAGTTTTTTTTCCCTACAATATTACAAATACAATCTATTGAGGTATCTCGGTTATGTGCCATTTATAAACTGTTAAAGGTTCGTAAGGTCGCTTAATGCTGTTCGGGTGCCTAAGACCAAAATTTCCTTTGAAGCCCATACGTCTCTCTGACTACGACAAAACAGGATATGGGCTTTGAACAAAAAATAAGCATATGCGATTTATAACAGCTAGAAATAAAAACACTTAAAATAAGATAATTGAAGTAGAAATAGTAATATTAAAACTTTATACAAACACTTACAATAGTCCAAGTTCGTCGACAAGGCTTTAATACCAATTACAAAACAAAACGGAAAATGAAAACTTATAGAGAGAAATTACAAAGAGGGAGAGAGAAAACTAGGAAACTTCCAATGCCTTATAGTTTACAAAACATCACATATATATATAAATTAAATAAAAGTAACTTTTACCGTTTGATGAATAGTAAAAGTATTTTTTACTATTCATAAATAGTAATAGAACTTACTTTTTAGTGTTCATGAATAGTTAACGAATATACTTTTTAACTGTTCATGAATTGTAAATTTGACATGACTTTTGGTCGCGTGCTGGATAAACGTACAGTCGTCTAGTAAAAAGTCTTTATCATTCTTCCAAGGGTGGAGTGCTGGCTGAACTTTGATTAAACTGATTTAGCCAATCAATACCGGTTTGCTTAACTCCCGTCATATTATCTTCTGGAATATCTATTTTTAATTCTTTGATGTTGTCAAGGAACCTTTGTGCTTCAATTAATTATTCTGCTGAATAGTTAGGGTAATCAACTGACAGCTGTGTGACGAAAAGTCTTCTTTCATCACAAACCATGAATGCTGCTTGAATAGTATATCTTATTATGATGGCTTTATCTTTAAGGTATATTGATTGGACCAATTCTTTCTGTTATTTCTAATGAATTTAGCAATGTTTTATGCTCAAATTCATTTTATTCTGTAGTTTTAAGAAACCATATTTGATATGGCTGATTTTTTTTTTTGTTTTTTACCACCATCCAATAGAACTCGAGATCCAGAATGTTATACTTCTACTCCATTTCCAGTGAGACGTAGTCTTTAAGATCATTGATTTGATCATTGCTATAAAAGATCTCCAAGAATAAGTATTGTGAGATGAAAATGTAACTTTGTTAGTTACACCCTAATCTATTTGTTCCATTGTCCATGGAAAACCTCCTTCGATATAAAGATATAACTTTGGATAAGTATCAGTATGATATACCATGTCGAAATGATTTATTTCTTCATGATTAAACTATTGGTCTGTTTAATAACTCTGATAACTAAAAGCCTAAAAGATTGGACCTTTATTGTGATACCCCTGGATTTTCGAATGCGGGTTGACCAGGCCCACGCCCGAATACCCGAGGATATTAAAACAAATTGATAATGAACGAACACAGAGTACAAAAGATTAAAGAAGAATAAATAAAATGCTGACAAGAAACTAAAATGATAATCTAATAATAAACTTCAGAATATATTTCCATTAATTAATAAACTCTTCTGATACAACTGATCCTCCAAAATACAACTCGGGAATCCATACTGTGTGGACCCCTAGAAAATCCAAACTAAACAAATGACAGTAATAACTGTCTAAATCAGGAAACTGAATCATAAAGGAACTCCTATGTAGCATCGGAAGAATAAAGTAGACTGATCCCCGCTCAGCACGAACAACCTCTACTCCTGACGAACACCTGAAAAATAATGGTGGGTCAGGCCCACAAACAAGTTATACTCTACTACAATCCAAGCAGAGATCCGATACACGTATACATCCTAGTCAATCCAACAGTAACTAGTAGTCCGTATATATATATATACACACTAAAGGAACCTCACTAGACTATAGGATTGTCTCAACCTGAATAGTAGGCAACATGCAAAACGCACATATAGTGGACATGAGTACCTAGACCTACCAGGGTACACAACTACACTATATCTAGTTACACATCCCTGGCGATATACGCACCCTAACCACTGATCCTGAGACTCAAGCTCATATCATGGCACCATACTTATATATATAAAATCTAGTAACCATCCTATTCAGT